TTTCTGTCTTCTGATTGGTTTATACTTTCTCAGCTATTACTTTTTTTAAAGTATCATTCACTGCAATAGAATGAGAATTGGTGGAAAGGATGACAATACAATCTCTCCTTGCGTAATTAAAATGACATTGCCAAAATAAATACCGTCATGGGGAGGCTCCTGATTGATCAAAATTTAGACTTTATCCAATTATGGCAGAATCTATTTTCTGATTTAACAAGAAAGCCCCTTTGGGATGAGTTCTGTCCATCTGACATTGTCCGATTTTGATAAAGTTTGGTACATATAGTAGGTGTTATGTGACATGACGAACACAATGTTGACATACATTTTCTGATTGGACAAAATGGCTGCCCTAGAGAGGCGACTAATGTGGGGATATTCCCTAAATTCTTGGATGTTCATTGAACAGTTCTTGTAAGTATATTATAACAGTCAAATACTACCGTTACTTACCTTGTTATCGCCAAAGTGGCAGTCTAATGAGATGACTAATATCCTGCACCTTTGGCATTTTCCGATCTCGATATTTTTTTACTTACAATTTGCAAGGGCGTCTGGGGGTCTTAATAAAACTTGTTATTATCAGCATCGTCATTATATTTTTTTTTCTTGCGCCTCGCTTTGTCAGACAAATTTCTCGAAAAATTAAGGCAATATTCAAAGGAAACTTAGCATGAGCGTTATGGACAATATGAAGTTGTGGTTTCGATCATTTTTCTTTCAATCGACGTCACAAATAAATGATGCAGTCAGAACCTCTCATTGGTTAAAATATAACAGACTATAATTTAAAGACCGTTGATCAGTATGAATTGAAACTTGGTGTGTAATATATTGTGACTAGGAAGAGATATGTTTGAGACATTCTTCCCACTCCAAGATGGCCAATTTTGCTATTGAAAATTAAAAGTTGTTATTTTTTTATGAAAGTTACAACAATTGTGCGACCGGTTTTTCAATTGAACAAAGAAACTCACATATTTTTAATCGTGTACGATCAACATGTCGACATCATCATAATCAAAGCTGAAATCCTATAAAACTAGGACAATATATATATATAATATTTACATGGAGACTCCTCAAAAGGACAAGAAGAATACGACCAGGAGTTCCGGAAGAGTTTGCTTCTTCTGCTTCATCGACGACACCCACGATACAAACGTTGGTCAATCCAAGTAGGTAAATATCAAATGAGAACAAGGTAAATTAAAACAGAACTATCATGCAAACTAACCAGCATCACACACGTCTAGCATCGTATCGCACAAAGAAACAGAACATTTCTCAATGAGATCACAATGGCAACCTGAAAACTTTCCATAATTTCCATTAACCTGCGTAATTTGAAACCCTATGTTATGAGTTTGTCTGTCAGTTGATGACTTCTTGTACGAAAATCGTGATAATGGAAACAGGCCCTTGGATATATATCGGATCAGCTGTGAAATGTAACACCATATATTTGAAATGAAGGGATATTGCTCTCAAGAAATGAAAAAAAAATCACAATAGGGATATTGAAATCATCACGTTTATCATACAGCTTGGTGTAAAGCTGTCAATATTGGTTTCGTTGTAGGAAAAGATCGAGATAAGCAGCTAATGTAGAAGAGTCTGCCGTGTCTTTGATTTCCAGGTCTGGTGAGTATATGCGATGGAGGCGGTCGATAGATTTCTTTTTATTTTAAGACAAGACGTCATCAATATATCTAAAAGTGAAATTAAACGACTTTGCAAGGTCTTTGTGACTTGTGGTGATAAGCTCCTAAATATAGTATTGTACAAAAACAAAAACAAGTCAGTCTAAAGAGGGGGGAGGGGGGTAGTCTCATAGGTAGACTGTAGATGTATGTCTGATGGAAGATCTTACCACCAAACCAAAGATGTTTTTAACAAGAAACTCGATCACTTTTATGATTTCGTCCTCCGTAGATTTCTTCTTTGATTTTAACGTATTTTGTACGAGTTACGCTTCAGTACAGACAAAAAACCATATACTAATACCGAGAAGAAAACTGTCACGACGAGAGAACGAAGTCATTGCTCCAATTTAGAATGGGGTGTAGAAGTACAAGGTGGGGAAAATGAAAGAAAAGACGATGTTATAGTGGCCTTCTGTGTATTTCGGCCCTTAGAATCACTGACAAGTCAAAGAAGGGCGAAACAGCTGAATGATGCAGGTTAATTCATTTTAGCTTTACTTTATCTAACTCTATATTGGTTTTGGAAATAACTATTCATCTGCACGTCTTTTGCACAATCACCTATACAATGATATGTATGCTTGATGATTATTAAAACACACGGCATACCCCGAGTTTTGGATATATAAACTGCTTGTCATTTCTTGATTGTTTGATATTGTGTCAAATCTGTGTAAAAATGTCGGTCTCGCTTAAGAGTCAGGAAACGAAATATAGACTTATGGAGCGAGAGAGAAAAGGATGTGATTGTTGTTTGTTATTCAATACTGAAACACTCCTACATATATAGTTTGATATTTGTTTTGGACGATTGTGATTTGTGCCATCTAGATCGCAACACGTTATCCAACAGATAGGTCCTTAATGGATAACTCATTCATTAAAGTTCGTCATTGGGCTTGTGTGTGGTAATTACAGGTATCTGTTCTGATCAATTATTGTCATAAAAGAAGAGCTCAATTATTGTCATCAAAAGGAGAGCTCAATTGTTGTCATAAAAGGAGAGCTCAATTATTGTAATAAAAGAAGAGCTCAATTATTGTCATAAAAGAAGAGCTCAATTATTGTCATCAAAAGGAGAACTCAATAATTGTCATCAAAAGGAGAACTCAATTATAGTCATAAAAGGAGAGCTCAATTGTTGTCATAAAAGGAGAGCTCAATTATTGTCATCAAAAGAAGAGCTCAACTATTGTCATAAAAGAAGAGCTCAATTATTGTCATAAAAGAAGAGCTTTTGTAACAATGTTCACTTGAGGATGAGAAATGACGCATTGTGTGAGAAATCAGCTTTGAGGTGTCATATATTTTGACATGCTACATCAGATCAAAAATAAATTAAATATTGTTAAAATGCAGTCCTCTCCTGTATTTCTAATGTTATGAAGATGTAAGTTTTGGGTTTCATAGTGCGAGAATTATTTACAAATTCCTTGATAAAAAGATAAATATTTCGTATGAAGTTCACTAAAAGGTACATGAAGTGTATTGAGTTCAATGTTCTGGAGGGCGATGAACATTCAGAAAATACGTCTACGTATGAATTGTCTAAATTTAGTTTTGGTTGTTTTGATAGGAGGACACAGCTGTCAACTGAAGATCGTAACAACACCATGTGACGTATCAGTGGTGAGGTTCCAATTAAGAACAAGTCATAATAGGAAAAAAATTGATGTCATATTTAAAGGAAGTTTCCTAAAAAACAAATTCATTTTTTGTAAATAAAAGATATTCCGTAGAGTTCTTTAAATGTATCAATTCTTCTTTGATTCTGTTGAAGATAAAATACGTGTTATTTCTATAATGTTGTACCTTTTCACCTGTGCAATGACAACTGGTGCTTTAATGAAGGTGTTCGTGAACCAGATACATTCTATTGATAAGCTGCCTCCAGCAAGAATCGGAAGGAGACTTCTAAGTTCAGCTGACCTTTTACTACGGTTTAATAACATGAAGGTTCTTACTGGTTTGGACAAAACCTCATTTGTTTTATCTACGATGTGTGTCATAATGTTGATTCCTGATGGCATTAAAACTTTCTGGTTGATAAATGAGATCTAAGATAACGATGAATTATGAAAAAAGAAGACAATTGAAAATAATGCATTCTTTATCTAATATCGAAGATTTCAGGAAAATGACGACAAGATGTGATGAAAAAAATAATAGCCTCCAACAGGAATATTTTCCTGGAATGGACCTGAAACAGGAACATTGTATTTCTGTTTAAAATGTTTTTTAATCAAAATATCAGAAAATATACCACTAATGAGGTGCGGTTATGTAATGATATGATAAAGACTGTAACAATAAATTTGACAGGCATTTTAATGCGTTTTGCTGGATCGCGTTCCACATCAATTTAATGTCTCTCTTACGTCGATACGGAGTTCATTTCATCAAAATGTCTACAGATATCAACCACCACATAAATGGCATATCTTCACGGTTCTGTGAGTCTAACCCTATGATTTTAAGCGCATTTGATACCGTATCCAATTTGTGTCAAGGTATGTGTTAGATAAATCTCATAAAGTGATATTTATGTTGCAGAAATGATCGACATTCACGTATGATATCTACACACGTTTAAAACGAAGCATCGATTCCGTTAAGGAATTTTTTGTTTGGAAACAACCACGTAACGAATGAATGGCCAAGAGGAGAAACACAATAACACATTAATTGACAAAAGAAGAAACCTCAAAATTAGAAGCATGTCAGGAAAAAGCTAAAAATACTGCAATGATTGATCTTCTTGTAAAAATAATGTTGAATCGTATAGGAAACAATACCATGACAAATTTTCTAGGAAAGAACACAACGGTAAATAACATTGGAAATAATATAACGAGCAATCAACATTGAAACAATATCATGTAAAATTACTTAGTAAACAATCTAATCAGGATACGGGTCTAACGATAACAACGATAACTGCACGAACAGGGTCATTTCCTGCCTGCCCAGAAATCACATGTCAATATTAATCAGTTCTCTTTAATCACTATTAAAACAACTAATTGATCTTCAATAAGACCTTACAAAAGCAATTCAGGGGTGATGACAAATCATCTGAAAGTTTGAATACAGATTAGTATACATGCAATCAAATACAGGTGCATGTATATATATACAGTCAATTTCCATTTCTTTATGCTTTCATGTAATTCCATAGACATATGTACGTAGGTTTACATATCAGTGTACTTATGGTATGGTTCACGTCTTCAGTCGGTATATAAATCATCTTTATTTACATGTCATCAACAAGTTTGTAGGAAGAATGCGTCACATGTCATCAGAAGGTTTGTCCGATGAATCATGTATTTTGTCGTAAGATGGAACTGTGCTTATGGCCGTCCTTGACATTGAAGGGTAATTACCGGAATACGACATGTCACTTTTACCTCGTTTCCATCTTTTGTTACGAACACAACGAAAAACAGACAAAAATCCTTGTCGGAAATTGCGATTCATAAAACAGTATGTAATCGGATTGCAACACGAAGAGATATACGCTGTTAAGTTAATAAATGCTAAAAGCGTCGTTGAGATGTGTTGCAAAGCATGTTCCTCGTCCAATATTATCCAGCTCTGAATAATATATAAAGGAGTCCAACACAAGAAAAATTCGTACACTACGGCAAACAACATTTTGATGACGCGTCGTTTTGCTGCCCTGCTCTTTTCGCTGTTAGACTGACGCATGCCCCGCTGTAAGTCGAACCTTCTCTTAGATTTTGACCGATTGCTGGTGGTCTCGGCTGGTGCGACCGTCTTACTGCTAAATCCTTCCGCGACGGGTGAGAGGTCATCATCCTTCATAAACCCTGTAGTCTCCTCCCGAACACTTGTATGGCCATTCATGGCTTCTATAACAGAGAGACGCAACCATACTAAACAATATAATTCTGTCTGGTCTAAATATCCTTCGACTGATTCAGATTAATCACAACAAAATAGTCCCGGCACATTAATTCAGATCAATTCAAAACAGGATATGTTCCAAGTATAATTCGTCATAGAGATATATTTATATTTAAAGTTCAAAAGCATATTTACAACAGAAATTAAGGTGTTATGAAAAAAATGACAATATTTAAATGCGAGTAGATAAGGGTAGTGCAGGAACTATCATCACCGAACTGAAATGTCTATAGCCTGGTTATAATACAATGCACTGCTATTACAACAATCAAATCAAAATCACAGAAAACACATCAATTATTCAAATACGAGTTTTACACTACTTATTTATTCATTATTTGACTTTTTTCTAATTTTCAATAATTGATCTTACCCTTTTCACTTTGGGCGTCCCTTTTCATCCCGACCCACAGTGTCATTGCGATCATGCCGTATGCACTTGACATAATGATCACAGGTAAAATAAGTAGGACAAGGTCGATAATGATTGTGTAAGCCCTTTTCCACTCCTCGTTCTCCCACCTCTCAATACACATGTTATTTCCCCTTTTGAGGTGTCGGAATTCAGTATAGACTGGAATCGGGATCATAACCACAAACGACAGCGCCCAGCAGACTGCTATGGTTTTGTAGGAGTGAGATAACGTCTGCCATTTCCTGGAGTGTAGAGGACGACAAATCGCAAAATACCTCTCCAAAGCGATGGCGACCAACGTGAAGCAACTAGTGGCTACAGACACACCTGATGAATAAAAAAGGCGTCATTACAGCAGTATGTATATGATTTTAAATCTGAAAGCATCTACTTACATTATTCAAACTCTCAATACACATGCAATACATGGTACCACTAGAATAAATAACTGACTTCCGGTTAGCGCCTGATAGGGCTTGCTCCCGTTAGCTCGTGACAATTTTTATAATTTTGACGAATTGGTGAATTTATCCTGGCTGATATTGGCCAGATTATTGTTTAAGTACTTCTAGTTTATTTTTACGCTCCCACTAACTTGGTGAATAGTATAATCATTTCACATTTTAGATATTTAATTTCCAACACACGAGATCATTACCGTTGATGTAGGACGAAGAGACTCAAATTTCTAACGTATATAGATCATATAGCTTTTTGTGATTTTTCGGCCACTTTTTGACATCTCGCCCACTTAACAAAACATCTAGATAAATATTACATCTTGACTGAATTTATTTTCTCTGTTTACTTCTAATAACATGTTCTGTTAACGTATAAGTTGATACGGACATTTGTTATTGTATTACATGACTATGTGGTGATCTTTGCAATATCTTATCGTTATATTGCATAGCTTGGGTAGGTCGCCATCTTTGTTTCATAGGCTTCCGATAGGTCGTGTATATGTTTCCACATTGTCTTGCTCTGTGAAGTCTACGTTATTTCATACAGATTGGTGATATCAGCTTTTGTAACATAGTTTATTCAATTTCACTTATTTAATTTTAATTATGATAGTCAGGACAACATCCCTTTCGTTGTAAACGTACTTACGACTCATTCTCGTTATATAGCACTCGACGAGTCATACGTAAATTTCTAATTAAAACGGTATGACACAATTATTTAGACCATTTTGACATTTTAGTAACATTCTTTGATTACATAATATCATATTCAAAAGTAATAATTGAAGAACTCTATTTATTCTTTAATTGACGAGTTTGCCATTCAGCTATATTACATCGGAAACGACATTTCGTCCACTAATACACTAGGGTAATAACATTGAGTATAACAGCAGCAGCAATAGCAGAGGTATCAGTCATCAGAACCATTGTGCAGCCGCGCTGCGATGTTAACAGGTGGAAACCAATAACATCTATATCGCGCGAGAACTTGGTTGTCATCAAACCAACGATGGAGAGTCAGCAAAAGCCCGCCGTCTTGCTTAATTTAGTATCGCTGAATTGTCTCTCGGTGAAGAACAAGTCATTGTCTATCAGTGACTTCATTACATCTCGGGATATCGATATTCTAGCGCTAACGGAGACTTGGCTGGGCTCAACCGTTGATGACCAAATTCTCGCTGAGCTTATACCAACAGGCTATGACATTCTCCACAATGCTAGACAAGGCAGACGTGGTGGCGGAGTGGCTGTTCTGTTTAAGAAAGGATTGAGTGTGAGAAATCTCAATTCCAACAACGAGGATTCCTATACACACTTTGAGCACATGACGTGTTCCGTCACCACTTGTAATACACAATTCAGACTGTGCGTCATATACAGGCCTCCCCTTCTAAACGGAACGGTCTCCGTAACAAAGTCTTCTTTGATGAATGGTCTTCATATCTCTATCAACAGGTTGTAGCTCCACAGGAGCTGATTATCGCTGGCGACCTGAATTTCCACTTGGATGATAACACTAATGTTGATTCCCGACAGTTCGCCGGAATCCTTGACTCCCGGGGGATGATGACATGTGACAGAAGCTACCCATTCACTTGGTCATACACTAGATGTGATTATCATAAGGGGAAATACTTCTCTAATCCACGGAGCAATTCTAGTGGCAGATCCATGTCTGAGCGACACTAAGGGAAACCTATCTGGTGATCATCTTGCTGTCTATGCTACACTAAATTGTGGTAAACCAAAACGTGCCAGAAAAGCGGTCAGCTTCCGGAAATTCCGCGAAATTTCTGTACCTGATTTCAACAAAGACATTCATCTTCAGTCCTTCAGACTACTGAGGGTGGAGTTGACTGTCTTGTTGAAGCATATAACTCTGGTATCGAGGCTCTGATCGAGAAGCATGCACCTCTTCAGACAAAGGTAATTACTGTCAGACCTAACGCGCCTAGGTACAATGAACAATTTCATGATGCAAAACAATTGCGGAGGAAGGCGGAGAAACGTTGGCGAAAGACCAAACTAACCATCCATTGCCAGATATACAGAGAACATTGTCGGGCAGTCAGTTCACTAGGCATTCAACGTAAGAAGGATTATTATTCAGGAAAAATCACAGAATGTGGATCGGATACAAGACAGCTTTTTAGACTCACCAGAAACCTTATGGGACATACTGGTGAAATTGCACTACCAAGCTGTTCTTCTGAAAAAATCTTGTCCAACAAGTTCAGTGATTTTTTCCAGGATAAAATCAATACAATCAGGCAAAAGATTGATGTTGTGAACTCAACTTCCGACACTGGCATCTCTGCTATGGATGCTGATATCCAATTCTCTGGTGAACCTTTGACGCAGTTCACTCCAACAATTGAAGAAGAATTGCGCAAGATCATTACAAACTCTCGAAATCCTGTGAGCTGGACCCGCTTCCCACAGTTTTACTGAAGCAATGTCTTGATGCACTGCTCCCCTTGATCACCTTAATCATAAATAAATCATTAGCAGAGTCTAGGGTTCCATTGTGTTTCAAGAAGGCTATTGTAAGACCACTGCTGAAGAAGCCTGGACTGAACAAGGAAGAATTAAAGAACTACCGTCCGGTGTCAAATCTCCCTTTCTTATCTAAGATGTTGGAGAAGATTGTGTCCCAGCGACTTGAGGCTCATCTCAATGCTAACAGTCTTCATGACAACTTGCAATCAGCCTATCGCACAGGACATTCCACTGAGACGGCCCTACTTCGTGTCTACAGTGATATTGCTGCCGCTCTGGATAACAAGTGTAGAGCGGTTCTTATCATGCTTGATCTGTCTGCTGCATTTGATGTCATTGACCATGGTACACTGTTTAAGCGTCTGGAGTACTCTTATGGGGTGACTGGTGATGCATTACGCTGGACCCAGTCTTACTTGAATGAACGACGACAGTGCGTTGCCATTGGGTCAACTGTTTCAGACAGCAAAACCTTAGACTTCGGAGTTCCTCAGGGGTCCGTTCTGGGACCTAGAAAATACTGTCTTTATTCGAAATCAATCGGGGAGATTTGTCGTCGTCATAACCTTCAGTACCATTGTTATGCCGACGACATACAAATCTTCATGGTTATCAGACCTCAAGACAACTGGGACATAATAGTAGCAAGTCTTGAAGCCTGTTTAAATGACATCAGTGCTTGGATGAACACAAATATGCTCAAGCTCAATCAGGAAAAGACATAACTGATCGTCTTTTCCCACAAGTGTCAACACACTAAAGGTCTCCAGTTAAAGGTCGGTGCCCAAACTATTGAGGCCGTCCAAGCTGTGAGAAACCTTGGTGTACACTTTGATAGCTCTCTGAACATGGAGAAACAGATAAACTCAATTGCCAGTTCCTGTTATCACCAAATCAGAAACATTGGGGGTATCCGTCAGTTCATCACCACAGATGCATGCAAGACACTGGTAAATTCTCTTGTTACTTCTAGGTTAGACTATGGTAACGCGTTACTCGTTGGTGTATCTGATACACTAATGAGCCGTCTGCAGAGGGTACAGAACACCGCAGCACGCCTAGTTACCCGTACTCGAAAGAGGGACCACATTACACCAGTCCTTTACTTATTGCATTGGCTGCCCCTGCGATTCCGGTCACAGTACAAGATTTTGATGTATACTAACAAGGCAATAAATGGAACAGCTCCTGAATATTTGCAGGAACTTGTCACCGTTTATCGGCCGTCACGATCGCTACGATCGGAGAAAGAATCCTTGTTGTGCGTTCCAAACTCTCGGACTGTGACTTTTGGTAACCGGTGCTTTGGAAAGGTAGCGGCCACTTTGTGGAACAGCTTACCATCTGCTACTAGAAAGTCAAAATCCCTGGCCAAATTCAAGAGGGATATTAAAACCCACTTGTTTACGTCTGCATTTTAGACTTACGCAGACGTCCTGTATATACATACTTTCACCACTACTTACTTGATTTGGTTAATGTGTTACATATGTTGATAACTGTGTTATACATGTTCTGTGAATTTTGTAGTAAGATTATTATGTAATTGTGAAGCGCATTAGAGTATTTTGTCAAAATAGATAGTGCGCTATATAAATGTTGTATATCATTATTATTATTATATATATGTGAATGGAGGCGATTTAATGCTTTCAAAGGAAAATAAAACTATTAGTGCATTTTTGAGACGTTTATTCTTTTAGGGTAAGAAAAAATAAGTGGAGGGAATTTTAAAAGAAATGGACAAGATAATGTTATTGAACATATAGGAAATGTTTATTTAATATAGTGTTAACTTCATAACGGCATGATATCACGTTGAAAATGGTAACATTGTAGCTCTAGATTAAAAATTTGCAGTCATAACAACACAGCGTTCTAATATCACGAAGTAGGAACAGTGCATGTTCTCTTAAGTGAAACAATTAACAGTCTGGCGGCAAGAATCAATTAATTACCTAAATTGATAGAGGCATGCTGTTGTGATATCACTGTGGACCGAAGAAAATGACGTCCATCACATGTGAATCACACGGGGTTTATTGATGACGGTCCAGAATTACTTTATCGCATTCAGTTAAATTACAGAGACAGTCGCAACCATTGAACACGTTCAGCTTAAGTATGATGGAACTACCTGAAGTGGAAGCCATGTCTACTTTCATACAACGTGTATCTGTCTATCTGTTATCGGATTTTCAAACCAGTTGTGTATACTAATGTTCGCTCACACGGAAGCAACATGTCATGCTACTGCATCATCAACATTACACAATTCAAAGAACATCTAAAAGAAAGCCTAACCGGAAAACTGTCTACATTCACGTAACTACTTCCTTCCCCCGCTTAGCAATAAAC